TTAAATTTTGACTTCAACTTTTAATTTCGTTAAATTACACATTATTAAATTTGGATAATCTTTTTCTCCGATGGACTTTCATTTGAAAATTTTTTAAAAATTATTTTTATATATATAAAGTGAATTATAAAACTTATATTGAATAGGAAATCTATAGGATTCATACGAAATAAACATTAGATTTGATTTTTTATTAGTTAATTTGTAAATTTTGATGAGTTATTTCAGAGTCAATTTTCTAACCGGTCAAATTTATTAGAATAAGACTTTATTTTTATAATTAAATTACAAAAATTTAATGGGTGACTTAACGAAATTAATAGATAGTAAAAGTTGAACGACTATCTAATTGGATAAAATTAAAACTTCATGCTAAAAATTGATTCAACTTATCTGAGACAAAAAAAATGAATTTTTATATTTATAATTTTAAATGTATTTATTATAAATATTCAAATTAGGTAATATTGAAAGCTATACTATATAAATCATTAGGTATGATATTAGTTGATTTAGCTAGTATATGTTCTAAAAATTATTGTAAAATAAATACAAAAAGTTATAATTTTACGTATAATATTATTTTGTTCAAATTAAAATAAGATTGAATTATCTATATAAATACACAAACAACATAAAAAAACTTTAAATATTTAGTAAGACCTTTTTAACTTTTCTTTTAAATTTACAAAGTTGAAATAATAAAACAAATTATAAATTATAACATCATGATACTATATTATAATTATTCAAAAAATAAAAATATATTCATATTAGAAAAAACAAGCATAGCTCAGCCGTGATTGGTATATACCTCTACTATGAGGTTGTGAGTTCGATCTCCTACCCTTACATATATTTTACTTAAAAAAAATGAAAAAAAAAATTATTTTGTATAGGTTGAGATTTAAGACTTAGGATCAAACAAAATTTTCCATTTATATAAGTTGAGAATCGAAGTCAATAAATAGTTTTAATTATATTTCACAATATATACAACATTTATAATAATTTCAATAGTATTATTATACAGTATAAAAAAATATACAATAATTTCAGGGGATGGCCCCCAGCCGTTCTTAAATCTGCCCCTGCTCCACTGTTATGTCATGAGGACAGAATCATGTACAATTATTACTATATTCCTTTAATTTTGTCATTGATCGAATTATTTTCCAATTTCCATAATTCATTTATTGCTTTCTATTGGTTCTATCATGTACAAGCCCAATAATTTTAGAGGGACTACGATAGTATATTTTGGGAGCCAACAAATTATGCTATAAATATGTTTAATAAAACTTTTGGTCTTTAATACAGTTTATTTGGTATTTCACTGAGATTTTAAATATCTTCTCACATAAATAAATTATAAAAATGAGATAAATCAATAAATTAAAAAAGAGAAAAAAAAGTGCCCGCTGTTACTTTGCCCATTGTTTCCGTTTCAACCACAGAAAGAAGTCACGTGCAAACACCGACAGCCAAAAGTGTCCTTTTTTCTTTTTTCTTTTTTTTTCATTTTCGTATCAATTTAGATTGAGTTTTGCACCCTGCTCGACAATTTCACCGACCGTTCATGAGTTTGATATCCACGAGAGAGGTAAATCAATATTTTTATAGGGTAAAAAAAATCGATAGAATATTAAAAAGTATCAATAATATAAAATTGATATTAATAACTTTTAAATTAAAATATTTATTTGTTATAAAATTTTTCTTTTTCAGAAAATTCACATTAACATTTTATCGAATTTTTATTGACAAATTTATAAAATTGAGACCTCTTGACATCAACATTTTAAATCTTGGTTTTGCATCACTTTTACTTTTAACTACTTTTTCCTGGTAAATCATTTAATTTAAACACCCATTCTATTTTATATATTTATTTATGAGTAATCATCTCTTCGTGCCCAAATTACAAATGTAAAATATCTAGATTATTAATTATTTTTCAAGTTTTTTTAAATGTATTTTAAAGCAATGTAATTTTCTAAAAATGTTTTTATTTAGTACCAATTCTACAACTTAAACAAAAAAAGTCACTTTGGAAACTATACGAAACACGCTAAATTGGTAATTCTTTCAAAAGTGCTTAAGAAAAAGGTAGTTAAAAAAAATTATTCAAGAGTGATTTCAAACCCACTATTAAAATGCTTTTAATTATGTGTGTTTGGTTACAATTTTTTTAAAAAGTGCTTTCACTGACCATTATTTTTTTATTACACTATATCTAAAAATGATGCAATTCACCTCACCACACCACAAGTTTTTTTCACACTTACATATTTTATATTTTTTACCAATTACTTGAGTTAAATTACCAAAACTTTTAAAAATCTTATTTAATTAATAGGGTTCTAAAATTTCAATTTTGATTGCAATAAATTATTCAACTTAAAAAATGTGTAATAAATCCTTAAATTTTCAATATTGTTTATAATAGATATCTAACCTACTTAACTTAACAAAATTACAAACTCATTCTATGTAAAATTTAATGTTTGGTCTAAGATTCCGACTTTTTAAATTTGTCTCTAATAGATCCAAAGCATTTAGACACAAATTTGAAAATTCATAAATTTATTAGACATTTTAAAAATTTATAAACCTATTAAACATAAAATTAAAACTAAAATTAAAAGTTAAAGACTTATTAGATACTTTTTAAAGTCTATGAATCTATTAGACACAGATAATTTATTAATTACTTTAGAGTTACTTTTTCGATACCACGTCGGAAGTCTTTCTTTAAAAAGCGTCTTAAAATCTTTTTGATATTTCTAAAAATGATTTTTATTTAGAACCAAACATAGCAAATGTTTGAAAAAACACTTATAATCCATTTTAGTTTAAGATTGTTGTACCTTTTTAAATAGTTGTTGTCAGTGTCAACT